GGAGATGAAGTGACAGTTTTATCTTATTTTCTCTTTTTGGACAAAATTCATTGTACCCCCTTTGTTTAAATATGTGCAATTAGCACCATTTTTTTAATATAGTTGAAAGATGTATTTTTCAATTTGAATTGACAAATCACAGCCACCCCTTTTTGTAATAATCTTCAAAACTATATGGAAAATGTTGTTGGAATAATTATTTTATTTTATTTATTTTTATAATTTTGGTGTATTATTAAAATAATTAATTTTTTTAATTTATATGAAATATGTGATATTAAATATATTCATTCATTTAATAACATGTAAAAATTATATAAAAAAATAAAAAAAAAATTACCTCAGCAACACTACCGAAATTATATATTCTTTTCATGTAATTTTATTAGTTTTTGTTTGATTTTTTAATTTTTTTTAAATGTAAAATTTTAAAAATAAATATATTCACTCATTTAATAACATGTAAAAATTGTATAAAAAAATAAAAAAAAATTATCTCAGTAACACTACCCAAATTATATATTCTTTTCATGTAATTTTATTAGTTTTTGTTTGATTTTTTAATTTTTTTTAAATGTAAATTTTTAAAAATAAATATATTATATTTTTAATAATTAAATTTTTTTATAATTTAATATAATATTATATATTTATTTAATATTATCATATATTTTATTAAATATTATATAAAATTATAAATATAATTTAATATAATATTATAATAGTAACATTACTATTTATTTTTTTCTAAAAGAAAAGTCCACTATACAGGACCCTTTCATTTGTACCAAGATACCTGGGAGGGAAATTAAGATTGATCAAGAGGATCCTTTTTGTACGAACAAGCATTTTGCTTGTCTGAATGTTTAGTCATACCAATTATGGTAGATTACTCCCCCAACTCCTGTGTCATGGAAGCGTGTACTTTGTAGGCAAGGTGACAAAATGTAGATTAAGTAGGTGCACTTTAACCCTATCTTTAGGATGCGAAAACGATTTTTAAAAAGTTTTTTTTAATATAGTTGAAAGATGTATTTTTCAATTTGAATTGACAAATCACAGCCGCCCCTTTTT